GAAAGTAGCAATGGGAGCAGTAACAAGAAAGGTCCTGGAATGGTTCATTTCAACATTCTTCACACACACAATTCAGTGACATTGATTATGTTTATTATGTTATTCAACCATCACCAAAATCAATTTCCAAATTTTTGCACCACCCTTAACAGAAACTCAGTGTCCCCTAAGGAATAACTCCCCCTATTCTCTCCCTTCTGCCCACCCCTGGTAACCACTAATAAACATTGGTCTCTATACACATGACTCTTCTAAGTATTTTATGTAGGTAGGATCATACAATATTTGTACTTTTGTAACTGACTTATTTCACTCAATATAATGTTTTAAAGGTTCATCTATGTATCAGGACTTCATTTATCTTTATGGCTGAGTAATATTCCATTTTATGGATATACCACATTCTTTTTATACATCCATCTGCTTATGGACATTTAGGTTGTTTCCATCATTCAGCTATTAGGAATAGTGCTGCAATGAACATTGGTATTCAAGTATTTATTAGCACTCTTGCTTTCAATTCTTTTGAGTATATAGTCAGAAGTGAAATTGCTGGATTATATGGTAATTCTATCTATAAATGTACTTTTTGAAGAACCACCAAATATTTTTCCTCAGAAGCTGTATCATTTTACAGTTCCACCAGCAATGGGTAAGTGTTCTGATTCCTCCACATCCTCACCCACACCTGTTGATATACACTTTTTTTAATCATAATCATCTTTGTGGGGCTGAAATAATATCTTTAACTGTTGTTTTAATTTGCATTGGACTATTAACTAATGATGTTGAACACCATTTGATGTGCTTGTTGTCCATTTGTATCACCTTTTTGGTGAAATATCTATTGAAGCCCTTTCTCGTTTTTTGACTGGGTTGTGTTTATGTTAAGTTGTAGGGGTTCTTTATATATTCTCGATATTAAACCTTTATCAGATATATGGTTCTCAATTTTCTCTCAATCTGTAGGTTGTCTCTTCACTTTGTTCATAAAGTCCTTACACAAAAATCAGTTGGGTTTTTATACATCAGCAATGAGCAACCTAAAAAGAAAATTAAGGAAACAATTCTATTTGCAATGATATTTAAAAGAATAAAATACTTGGGAATAAATTCAACCAAGGGAGTAAAAGACTTGTACACTGAAGGCTATAAAACATTATGGATAGACATTAAAGAGGACTTAAATAAATTGAAGGATATCCTGTGCTCATGGTTTGAAGACATAATGCTGTTAAGATGTTGATACTACCGAAAGCAATCTAATGATTCAATAGAATTCCCAACAAAATTTCAATAGGGACATTTTTGATTATTGTAGCAAACTCGAGTGGCAGGCAAAATGGCTTAGTACAATTAGAAAGTAACCTGGGAAAGGAGCTGTTCCCCAGGGCAGAGATGATTTCCTATTTAAAGAGAACTATTTGTTCTGAGAGTAGAATATATTTTAGAAGGTGGTTAACCTGTTTCAATAAAAGTGAATTATTTAACTGTTACTAAGAGCTTATTTGTTATTTTCTACTGACTTTGAACTCAATCACTAAAGGTAAGCATAAATTTACCTTAATCAAACAGGTAAGCATGAACTATTTCTGTCCAATATCAAATTTATTTTTATGTATATCTTTATGTTTTAAGCATCAGCAGAGAGCATTCAATTTTAGAAAACTAAAAAAAAGCAATTCTTTTTTTTTCAATTTCAAACACCGTTCAGATATTCATTTTACTTTTCTTATATTCATGATTATAAGATGAAATGAGAATAAAATGAGAAAAACTCAGTAATACTACAGGTCAATATATCAAAACTTAGCGTCTTCATTATCATCATCATTCTAAGTGCTAACATTTATTGATTATTGATTAATTACTCTGTTAAGCATGGATTTAAATATTTTACATGTATTAAATCTACAGATCATGGCTCAAAAAACCAAATAATATATGTATAAAGAACAAGATAGTGAATGGACATAATAGAAATGTGTTTGTATCCTACTGCTATCTAAGGGATTATTTGTTTATTAAGAGTTAAGTTCTATGATAAATTAGAAAATACTGGGGATATGTTGGCATAGTTTTGTTTTTATCATTAGAGACTTCTACTAGAGGAAAAATCCTCTGAATTGCATTCACCAACTTCTAACATTTATTTCCTATCTTCCATTTAATTTTAAACTTGCTCTTAATTCAAGCAATATATATTCCCATATTGTGTGTGTGTGTATATATATATATATATATATATATACACACTGTGATGACGTTTTAGTTGATAACAAAATCTCTACCCTGAACACAGTGTGGAGACCAGAAAAATAAACATGAAGTGTTTGAATAAAAATAGAAATGTCAGCATGTGTATCCAGTTATTTTCTTTCTGAATTGTATAGTTAGCGTCTAAAGATTTGCAGAAGTCGGATAGAATTTGAATAATTATAATATTTCTTACTTTAAAAGTGGCTTCACATTGAGAATCATTTTTAATGTTCATAACATTGTTTCTCCATTTTTTAGAAGAAAAAATAAATCAGGACCGAAAAAAACAAAGGTTTCAGTAGCTGTGGGAGGTGTAGAACACTAGAGTCCTGTTTGCAAGTTCAGCTGTTTCTTTCTTTCTTGTTTCTTTGCACCTTAGTTTCAGGTTTCCTTTCAAATGTACCACCTTACTCGATCGGTGGGAACAATGCCGAGAGTGAGTCTAAGATAGACAGAAGAGTTTATGAAAAGATCAGACACAATAATGAGGATGCAGTCTCTGAGGATAATGGTCAGATCAAGTGTGGTTGCATGATACATGGTGATGACGATAATTCAACAATTTTGATCATCTTCTGCGCGTTGGACTCTAGATTGAATTACAGGGTGAATACAACATGCTTGTAGTTTTATGGAATAGTGAAGTGAAAGAAAGTATGGGTTGTGTATTCTAATAGAATTAAAATTATATTTTATTAATATTATGCAATAGACACTAATTTCTAACCATTCTTAAGACTCTGTTACGGCATCTTTAACATTCCCTACAATCCAATTTTATTGGGAGCACTGTGTCAGATGATTGTGGAAATATCTTTAGTGCTTTACTGTTTAGTCTAGAATATTGTAGGTGCTGCAATGAGTGGTTATTTGTCTTCCCTTTACTCAGTCACAGAAAATCCATAGAATGTCCAAATTTTGCTACTGTCCCAATTGTGTCTCTTCTAGGACATGATACATGCTTAACACCCTTAGTATACAGATAGAGGTGAGTCTTCTCTTTGCAAGGAGTTAATCTCTATTGACAGGTCCCAGGGAAGTTTGAACAGTTAAGTGCTGGAATACTAGCCAAATAGATGGCAGTTTGAATTTGCTGTGAGGTGCCTTGGAAGATAGGCCTGGCACTCTACTTCCAAAAGTCACAACCTTTAAAACTCTACAGAGCAGTTCTACTTTGAACACATGTATTCCTCGTGAGTTAGAATGGACTCAACGGCAGCTAACCACAAAAAACAACAACTATCTGCATTGACTGTCAAATTAATTTACACGTAATATGGAAGTTATCTAGCAATACGGAAAACAATGAGCTAATGTGCTAATTCTATAAGAGTAAATAAAATGAGTGTTATTCTTTAACACACACACAGCAAAAAAAAAAAAAAAAAGCATAATTAGATCCTTTAGTGATGGTGGGAGACAGATCACATTTATGTAGGAGATCATCCTTACTAGCTGGAAATTATTCTAAAGACACAATCAATTTGATTCATTTATATAATCTATCAAATAAGTTATTAAATCAAGTTATATGGCTGCTAACCAAAAGTCTGGCAGTTCCAACCCACTAGCAGTCTGCTTCTGTAAAGATTTCAGCCTTGGAAACCCTATGGGGCAGTTCTACTCTGTCCTTTAGGGTCACTATGAGTTGGAATCAACTTGACAGCAATGGGTTTGATTTCTTGGTTATATGGATATTAATAAATCATGTTTGGTTAAACAAAATACTACGCATTGCATAGAAAAATATATTGAATTCTATAAGAAGCTGATAATGTAGGCATAGCGATAAAAAAAGTGCTTAATAAAAATTGACGGTCACTATCTAACACACTCTTGTGTGCAACATGCAGTGCATACAAGAGAGAAGACTGATCTGCACAAATGAAGTTGACAGAAAGACAGTAATTAGTGAGGATGGGATGATTTAGGAAAATATCATGGATGAGTTAATGTTGCTCTTATAAAACAGGTGTGTAAGAAGAATAAAGAAGTGGATGTTCTAGTTAAAATTGCTTTCTTGAGCATAAATACTAGGCAAATTTGTTTCTAACTTATACCTGACTACAAAATGTGAATAAAAATGCTGACTTCTGACTTCATAGACCTTACACTGAGATACAAACAGATTTAAAGATTAAATGCCAGCCCATAACATTTGGTGGTTATATCATGTTTTATAACAAAATAGCCTTGATGTACAGTATGTTAAAGCAAAACAAGACTTTTGAGATACCGCAGGAGAATCCCCATCTTCCATTTAACTACATTTAAATGGTTCAAAACTATGATAGATCACATATAGAGTCTTTATTTGGACAATGAAAATAATTTTCCATTGATAATATTGGAAAATAGAATCGAGAGGAAAGCATGTCAACTAAAAAAATGGAATAAATTGCTATCATTGAACAACATTTCAGATTTGAGACTTTGAGTGTTCATATGAATAGCAAAATTTAAAACCATACATACCATCAACAGAAACAAGGAAATACAAGGAAACCCTTAGCAGGAAAAAAAAAAAAAGAAAGAAAGAAAGAAAATGTTTCTTATGGATGTATTGAGCAATAATTTAAAAATATATTTGACTATTCTTTTAGAGAAACAGTTATTTGTTGGATTTATTCTTATAGGGAATTGGGAAAATTGTAAGGCATACCATCCCCAGTTTGCAAGTAAGAGTACAAAAGCTAAGAAAAGTGAAGTAACTTATATTTCTGATTGAATCACTCCTACAGATGAAACATGAAGTAAAAAAAGCAGAAGGCAATGTCTCTGCAGTGATGCAATTTGTACTGCTGGGATTTTCTGACCTTTCAAATCTCCAAGGATTTCTATTTGGAGTGTTCTCCATCATTTATATAATTATTATAATTGGAAATAGCCTCATAATAATACTAACCAGACTTGATCCTGCATTACAGAAACCCATGTATTTTTTCCTGGCAAATTTTGCCTTACTGGAAATTTCTTATGTAACTGTCACTCTCCCCAGGATGCTAGTGAATCTTTGGACTCAGGATAGAAGCATTTCTATGCTGGAATGTGCCACTCAAATGTGTTTCTTTCTTATGCTAGGTGCCACTGAATGTTTCCTCCTGGCTGTGATGGCTTATGACCGCTATGCAGCCGTTTGTAACCCCCTGCACTATCCTCTAGTCATGAACCAAAAGATGTGTGTCCAGCTAGCAGTTGGCTCCTGGATCATTGGCATCCCAGTCCAGATAGGGCAAACTGCTCAGATTTTCTGTCTGCATTTTTGCAATTCTAACCAAGTTAACCACTTCTTCTGTGACATCCCTCCCATTATCAAGCTAGCCTGTGGGGACACTTTTGTTCATGAGATGTCTGTCTATGTAGTAGCTATGTTGTTTGTTGCTGTCCCTTTTATGTTGATACTTGCCTCTTACAGCAAAATCTTTTCCACCATTCTGAAGCTGCCAACAGCCTCAGGACAGGCTAAAGCCTTCTCCACATGTTCTTCCCACCTGCTGGTTGTGGTTTTATTTTTTGGATCTGCTACCATCACCTATTTAAGACCCAAATCCAATCATTCTGCAGGAATGGACAAGCTACTCTCTCTTTTCTACACCATAGTTACTCCAATGTTTAATCCCATGATATACAGCCTTAGAAACAAGGATGTTATTGCTGCACTGAGAAAATTATTGTTTAAAAAGCAGCATACGAGGTAGAAACAACCTAAATGTCCATCAACAGATAAATGTGGTACATACAATTTTACTCAATCATAACAAGAAATAAGTTTTGATACACACCACAACATGGATGAAACTATAAAATTTTATGCTGAGTAAAATAACTCAGTCGCACAAGGACAATTACTTTATGATCTCACGTATATGAAATATGCAAATACATTAAAAAAAAGGTTAATAGTGATTATGGGGGTAGAGGGAATAGGAAAGTTTTTGCCTAGGAGGCATTGAATTTATTTTAATGGTGGTGGAATAATTTGTAAAAGGGTAATGATAATTGTTGCTCAACATGGAAAATGTATTTAATGTCACTGATTCAATGCACGTAAAAATTGTTGAATTGGCAAATGTTTTGTTGTGTTTGTTTTTCTTCACTTTTAAAACTAGCATGATCAGCTTAATTATTAATGTTTTAAGTGCGTGTCACATAGCCATGAAAGAAACATTTCAAGTCCCTACATTTCCTGGGTTGACAAGTTAATCCTTCCTGTTTATGATGTACTTTAGGATATGTAGCTCAAGTTTACTGTACTTGGGTGTATACTTGGAAAATTGATCTATCTTCACCTTTCCAAGTCTAAATAATAATCTTGTTGCATAAATAAAAGTGTGATCTTTCTTTCTAAAAACTATGAACAGAATTTAAAATATTAAAATTATTGGTTTAAATATTCTTAAAAATATGCAACATGAGTTGCCTTAATTAATTGTCTAAATTTTCATACTTGTATTTGCTAGCATTTTTTTCTGATTCTACATCACAGATATTGGCCAATAGTAAATGAAAAATGAGTGTTCATTGAATGAGTAATTAAATGAGTGCGTGGAAAAAATGATGTTACTATCTCCTACTTCAAATTTTTGGATAAATCTACAGATTTTAGAGCATAAATGACCATTGCGAGCAAATTTATTATACCTACTATGCACCCATGTGGGGCTGTTGTTAGCTGCTGTCCAGTCAATCTTGACTCATGGTGAACGCATACACAATGGAGGGACTACCTATATCTGTACCATCTGCATGATCAGTTGTGCGGATCAGATCATTCTGATCCACAGGGTTTTCATTAGCTGATTTTCAGAAGTAGATAGCTAGGCCTTTCTTCCTAGTCCATCCTAGTCTAGAAGCTCCACTGAAACCTGTTCAGCATCATAGTAATATTTAAACTTACGCTGACAGACAAGTGATGGCTATGCTTGAGCTGTATTAGCCAAGAATTGAACCCAGGCCACCAATGCCCCTCATGTAGAATTATTCAAATCATGTTACCAAAAAAAAGCTTAAATATATTTAGCTTTCACCCTGGTAACTTCCTGCTAGAGCACTTGCTGTAACAGGAAACTCCTACTCACCTCAACCAGTTTAATCTGCAGATATTTCTATGTTCTTTTTAGCAATTATGGCCTAATGCTCTGAGTTATTTCATCTCCTTCATGACTACACTCCAAACAGCAACTTCTATACCACTTCAAATTTTAAAAGAAAAAAAAAATGAGATAAAAGGTGAGGAAAAAGTTGAAAATTACTTCTTGATTACCCAAAGTCCACACCATTGTGACTAGATTAGTTTGCTTAATATTTGCAAATTTTAGTAATTTCTAAAGTGTTTAAAATTATCAAATCTTTCAACTGGCATTAGCAAGAGGAGTGACCATCTGTCAACAGATTCATTAATGTCCATCCTGCCAACTCCAGATCCTCAAATCAACAATTTACATAAAGAGATTATTTAGTGCATATGTCACTAAGAACTTCTATTAGCAGTTCTCTTGACAGTTGTGACATTCTGTTAGTTACGTGTATACAAGGCAATTTTAGTTCCTGTTTTATGGTTATGTTTCTAGATTATCAAGCTATTTACGCTGTCTACCATCTGATATGATGTCCTACAGTTATGGAAGTAAAAATGCATGTATCAAACACCTTATACGCATATACCAAATACCTCAGAAGATTTGGTTCCTTGGTTTGGAGTTATGGACTCATGCTTTCATGCGACATCCCAGTTAACTGGCCTAATAATGTGTTTAGTGCGTCTGGTCTACCTCGTAGTTCATTGCGTACTGCCTTGGGTCTTAAAAGCTTGCAAGTGTCCTCCCAAGGCACAGCAATTCATCTCTATTCACTTGGAACAACAGAGGAAAAAGGAGAGTCAAAACTAGAAGGAGGATATGGAATGTGTGGCTACTTGCCTCCATGAACAACTGCTTCCTTTGGCATGAGAGCAGGAAAAACTACATGGTTCCTGGCTACCATTACTGAACATTTTGATGAAAGATTCCATAGAAGAATCCTGATCAAAAGTGGGAAAATGCGGTACAAAATTTCAAATTCTCATGGACTGCAGACTTCCTGGAGCCATGAAGGTTGGATGAACCCCTGAAACTATTACCCTGAGACAATCTTTAAACCTTAAATCAAAAATGTCCCCTGAAGTCATCTTAAAACTGAACAATAGTTTAGCTTAACTGCTAAAAAAGGTCAACCTTGAGTATTTTGCTCTTTTATGAACTATCTATATGGGATCAAATTGACACCAGCAACTCGAAAGGTTAGATAAGAACCTTAGGGGGCAGTGAGTTTATGTTAATGAGGGAGGAACAACTCAGAAAAGGAGGGAGAGAATGGTTGCACAACTGGAAGAATGTAGTCAATGTCACTAAATTGTACATGTAGAAACTGTTGAATTTGTGTATATTTTGCTGTGTATATTTCAAAAACAACAACTTAATAAAATTTAGAAAAAATGCATATGTCCTTTGTCATTTAATATTTTATATGTTACAAGAATTTGATACATAGTTGATGATGATGATGATAGTGATGATAGGATGATGATTATGATGGTGGTGGTAGTTTTTCTTTTTTTAATTTAATAAAGCAGAATCACAATGTCATGGGACAATGCTATGCCAGCAGTTCAGATAACAGATTTTTAATCGTTTTATAACTAATATCTTGAACAAGCTATTTAACTATTTTTTCATCACATTCACAATTAGTAGAATGATATTATAATATTCCCTAACAACTCACTGGAATATTATTAAGTTCAAATATCTACTTAGGATGTAAAAACATTTGGAAAAGTTTAAAACACCACAAGATCGAGATGTTGGCTGTATTTAGATAAAATTCTTGGTGAAATCACTAGCTTTCTTGTACTCAAATATTATGGAGGTAATTATTCCAGCGTTATTCTTGAGTAAATGAACACCCTTCAATGTCAATTACCTAGAGAAGAAAACTTACTTAATTAAACATTGGTATTATTTTCCTTTCATAAATGTAATATGTTTTGTTTTTCTAAAATGTATTGCGCATATATTTGTCTGCTGAACAAGTACTATGGAAGAAAGTTAAATATTCCTTAATATTCAAAGAGTATATTAATTAACCTTTATATTTTTTGTAAACTCAGGGTCAGTTAACAAGTGCAGGATTATAGCTTCCTTTACACTTTTGCAAAGTCCCTTCATATGTTTGTATTTTTTCCTTCTATTTCTCTACTTCTTGTCACCCCAAACGGTTATTTTTCAGTGAATTATTTTTTGTGAGGTGACGTTGCGTTGGTTCCAACTCATAGTGATCCTATGCACCACAGAAAGAAACACTGCCCAGTCCTGAGCCATGCTCACAATCGTTGTTATGCCTGAGCCCATTGTTGTCAATCCATTTCCTTGAGGGTCTTCTTCTTTTTGCTCTTTTTTGCTGACCCTCTACTTTACTAAGCATGATGTCCTTCTCCAGGGACTGATCCCTCCTGACAACTTGTCCAAAGTATGTAAGACGTAGTTTCACCATCCTTGCTTCTGAGGAGCATTCTGCTTGTACTTCTTCCAAGATAGACTTGTTCATTCTTTGGCAGTCCGTGCTATATTCAATATTCTTCACCAACACCACAATTCAAAGGCATCAATTCCTCTTCAGTCTTCATTATTCTTTGTCCAGCTTTTGCATGCATATGATGCAGTTGAAAATACCATGATGTGAGTCAGGCCCACCTTAGTGTTCAAGGTGACATCTTTGCTTTTCAAAACTTTAAAGAGGTCTTTTGCAGCAGATTTGCCTAAGGCAATGTGTCTTTTGATATCTTAACTTCTGCTTCCATGGGTTTTGATTGTGGATCCAAGTAAAATGAAATCCTTGACAACTTCAATCTTTTCTCTGTTTATCTTGATGTTGCTTACTGGTCCAGTTGTGAGGATTTTTGTCTTCTTTATGTTGAGGTTTAATCCATACTGAAGGCTGTGGTCTTTGATCTTCATCAGTAAGTGCTTCAAGTCCTCTTCACTTTCAGCAAGCAAGGTTGTGTCATCTGCATAGTGCAGGTTGTTAATGAGTCATCTTCCAATCCTGATGTCCCATTCTTCTTCATATAGTCCAGCTTCTCAGATTATTTGCTCAGCATACAGATTGAATAGGTATAGTGAAAGGATGCAACCCTGATGCACAACTTTCCTGACTCAACCATGCAGTATGCCTTTGTTTTGTCCAAACAACTGCTTCTTGATCTAGGTACAAGTTTCACATGAGCACAATTAAGTGTTCTGGACTTCACATTCTTCACAATGTTATCCATAATTAGTTATGATCCACAGAGTTGAATGCCTTTGCATAGTCAACAAAAGACAGGTAGACATCTTTCTGGTATCCTCTGCTTTCAGCCAAGATCCATCTGACATCAGCACTGATATCCCTGGTTCCACTTCCTCTTCTGAATGCGGCCTGAATTTCTGACAATTCCTTGTCAACATACTGCGGCAGCTGCTTTTGAATGATTCTCAACAAAATTTTTCTTGTGTGTGATATTAATGATATTGTTTGATAATTTCCTCATTTGGTTGGATCACCTTTCTTGGGAATAGGCATAAATATGGATCTCTTCCAGTCAGCCAGCCAGGTAGCTGTCTTCCAAATTTCTTGGCATAGACGAGTGAGCACTTCCAGAGCTGCATCGGTTTGTTGAAACATTTCAGTTGATA